GGGGCCGGCCACAGCCACGCGTCGCCGAGTGCCTGCTGGTGTCCCCCGCCGTGCCAGGCGCGGGGACTCGGCGTGGACGGGACAGGCAGGTGTGCGGGGACCTGAGTGCTGGGAGCGGGCATCGCCATGGCATCTTCGCTCCCTCACCTCCTTCCAGTCTCAGCTCCATCGGGCCCTGCGTTCGCTCCACGGTGAGGCCGTGGCCGGCCCTCTGTTTAAAGTCACGTCCGCTCTCTCTTCACCCCACTTCCTGCTTTAGGCTTCACAGTGGCTCTTACCACTGTCTAATACTCTAAATAATTTATGCGTTTGGTTTATTGTCTCGCTCCCCCACTAGAAACCCTCCAGGGCAGGGTTTATTGTCGTTTTTATTCCTGGCCGGGCCCCCAGGGCTGGCACACAGTAGGCGCTCAGTAAATAGTTATGGAATGAATGAACTGAATCATCACCGATCAGTCTATCAATTGTCAAACTTATGCTACAGGATGGATGGACCTTGAAAACATTATGCTGAGTTAAAGAAGGCAGACACAAAAGGACACATATTGTATGATTCCATTTATATGAAGTGTCCAGAATAGGCAAATCCATAGAGACAGAAAGCAGATTGTGGTTGCCAGGGGCTGGGGGGAGGGGGGAAAGGGGGATGTGTGTGGCTGTTAAAGGATAAGGGACTTCTTTTTGGGGTGATGAAAATGTTCTGAAATTAGTATTGATTGCACAACTGTGAATATACTAAAAATCATTGAATTGTGCCATTTAAAAGGGTGAATTGATGGTATGTGAATTATATCTCAATAAAACTGTTACAAAATCAAAACCAAACAAAAAACTTCTCTCTCTCCCTATTTTGCTATTTCCTGCCTTCTCTGGAAAGGATTCAGAGCGTCTTTCAACGCTGCGTAAAGCATGGCTAGGTGCAGCCACTGAAGGTGGGCCAGAAGAGAAAGAAAAATAAGGGCGGGGAGTCAGCATGACCAGGCAAATCCTCAAGGCCTTTCTTTGTTCCTTCTGTTCTAGACACAACACTCAACTTGGGCCCCTTCCATCAGGTGGTTCCAGCAAGGTACCACAAGAACCCTGAGCAGCCTGGGCCTGGCTCCATCCCACCCTGGCCACAGCACCTCTCACCAGACGCTGCCTCCTGGGGGTGTGTGGGGTAGGGGGGATCTCAGTCACCTCTGGTGCAAAGTTAGGATGCAGAAGAATTTGTGCAATGATCGAATGATTGCGTGTCTCAAGCCTACAGGAGGGGCAGATGGGCATGGGGTAAGCTCCATGCTTTCTTCTGAGTGAGCTTCATCGCCTGAGCCTCAGTTTCCTCATCTGTGAAATGGGGTCAATAAGAGCAGAGCCAGCCTGGCCTTCTCATTGCTAGTTCAGTCCACTGCCCACTCACACCCTGCTTCTCTCTGAAAAGCATTACATTTACAGGCCTTTTTTTTTAATTATTACTTTTGATGACTGGGGTTTGTGTTAAATATCATTAATTTTTTAGAAACCCAAGGATAGAAAGTATCTTTTAAAATTAAAGGGAGTTAGGGTAAAACTAGCCCTGGAACCCCCGTGAGGGTCCTTTAAATGATGTTCTCACTGCCTGGATTGCTGTCTCTCCGTCTCTGTCCCCTTCTCTATGGGGACAAATACATGTTCACCCTTCTATACTTTACACAGGCACCCTCTTTACTCCAAAGCCTTCCTTGCCCATCTTCCACCCCAACAAAGCTACTCCCATGTCTTGCTGTATGTCTGTATCTTGACATGTGAATCTCTGCTATTACGTGAATTCACACACTCCTTCATTCATTAATTCATTCAACAGACTTTTAGGGAATTCCTACTGTGTGCCAGGCACTGTGGTAGGTGCCAGAGACAGAAAGAAGAAACTTTCAGGGATTTTAGGGAGGGAGGCAAACAAATCAGTAATTACCATATCGTGGTTAGTTTCGTGCTAGGGTTATGTTCCGAGTGCTGGGGGTGGGACATATTCTTTTTTATAGTTATAAAGATTCTCTCTCTCTAGATAGATGGATATGGATGTGGATATCGATAGGTAGATATAAAGATATACATATATGGATCTCTATGTATATGTGGATATATCTGTATCTATCTACCGAGACTTAGCTATAGATATTTTAAGAGCCTGTAACTGATTGACACCTGTCTTCCAGATGTTGGGTTCTTTATGAACAAGAGGATGCGCAACCTGCAGTGAGGGCTTGGGACAAGCTCAGGAATCCACATGTGACCTTGACCTGAAAAACGTGCAGACTTGGTAACCTGACTTCATCTTGTTTCCCCCAAGACCACTTAGTCAACCACCCTTTCATGTTTTTTTCTTTAAGTAACATTTCTCTCAAATTATAAAAGTAATGCATGCTTAACTTGGAAAATAAAGAAAAGTCCGAAAGGAAAAATAAAACCCTCAGTTCTGCCCCATCCAAAAATAATAATTGTTAATATTGTTGTCTCTCCATATTTTTCCCTTATATAATTTCTTCACAATAATAACACCGCCACTTACATACAGCTTACTGTGTGCCAGACATTGCACATAGTAACTCATTTCAGCTCCTCGACCCTTTGAGGGAGGTAGTATTACTTTCCACGTTTACAGGTGGGGAAACTGAGGCCCGGAGAAGTTCAATCACTTGCCCAAGGTCACAGAGCTCGTAAGGAGCAGAGCTGGGCTTTGAACCAAGCAGTCAGGCTCAAAGTCTGCAGTCCTAACCTTGCCCCCTGTACCCTCCTGCCTCTGTGCAACGACAAAAGTGCTGCACGCTCCGTGGAGAGAACTTAGAAAGCACAAACGCACAAAAGGGAAAAACGTCACGTGCCCGAGGAGAGCAGCCGTCAGTGCTTAGCGTAAATCGGCCGGTGTATTCCCCATGTGTGTGTTCCCCATGGGTGTGTTCCCCATGCCTCTGTGCAATGAGGTCAGGCGGTGTGGGCCCTTTGGTGGCCGCCCTTTCTCCCCTTGAGTTTTTCTTATGTCAGTAAGTTCTCTTTTTCAATATGCTTTTTTTTTTTTTTTT